TCCTCGAGTGAGCTCCGGTTTTTCTGGCCATTCCAAAACCCTTCAGGGTTAGGAGTTCCGGCCCGTTTTGGGGTCCTGCAGCCCCAAAAAATTGACCTGTCACCACCTCGTTGAGAAGGTCGCCTCCTACGCGTTCGCGCTCGCAGTCTCAGGCGATCTTTGGCGCTTGAATGGCTCCACTGCCTGCCGGACCATCATCAGCTTCAATGTGGCTCGTGAACGCAGGGCACTTTTGGCAAACAAAGTGCTTTGCTGGCTGCCTTTGCTGAGGCTCTTCACGTGTGGTGTCTTGTTGTAACGTGTTGATTTCCTCTGTAGCTGCTTCTCTAGTCTCTAGCCGAGTGTGTACTTTCCGGCCAAGACGAGGTCAACAGGAAACGGACACCTTCAGGCAGTGCTTCAAGATCCCTGACATGTGACTCCTGACTTCAACTCAGGCCAAGTCAAAGTCCAAACACCATACCTGACGAGTGTCCGCGACCCGACACAGGGTATGCCAAACCTGGAATCAGGGCACAACAATCCTGCATTTCCTCCAGCACCCGAAACTAGAGGAGTATGGTCTACTGTAGTCTTTACTATGTCCGTCGAAAGTATGTCCGAAGTCTCACCCATTCCCAATAACCCTAAACGCCCAACACTCAAAACCTGAAACCCTGAACCTTATTAAACAACGGTTATACTACAAAATCCTGTAACAACGATGACATACTACACTCCAACATATGCTAGCATCCAGTGTAATAGCACACCATAATTAGCATAATTAAGACATTCATTTTGTTTAATAAACTATCCTGGCCGTTGACATACATAGCAAAGGTTTGTGCGTGTATATATATATATATACACACAAAATGTGTGTGTGTGTACGTCTGTGTATGTATATATACACACATGTTAATCGGTGTCGGTAATGATGGTGATGATATTTTTTTAAACGATAGCTCAGGCCGCACCTTTGGCTTTCTCAGAGCCCTGGGGTTGTTCTCCTCCTGGGAAGATCTTGAGATTAGGGGTTGATCGGGGTTTCGGGCTTTAAGCTTTAAGGCTAGGCTAGCGGTTTGGGGCTTCATGCAGGTTCAGGGTTTAGGGTCAGACGCTTTCAGTCTTGTGGCTTGTGGCTGATGGGTAGTAAGGCCTATTTCTGTTCGTCAGTCCTTGTCCTGAGGTTGATCCAAGTTGGCAGCTTCAGAGTCTTGGGGTCAGGGGGCTTCATAAACAGAATAGGTTTTTTGGAGCCCATCATACTAAAATCATAATATGGAACTCCCCAAAATAGTATTGGCAATTCTTTAACCCCCTAATCCTACTTGGAAGTTCATGGCTAGTTAGAAGTAGGGTTATAAGTAGGATGATTATGGTCATAACCCTCCTTAAGGGACTTATAACCCCACTTATATCTACCCATGAACCTCCAAGTAGGGTTAGGGGAGGTTTATCTTGCGACCGGGGTTGGTTTGGGCTTTAGGGCAGAAGGGCTTTTCTGCTGCAGATGGCGAGAGTTCTTAGGGTCGTTGCGGTAGTTGCAAAGATTCTAACAACAGGGCTTTCGCAAGGGTTTTAAGATTGCGATTGCAAGGTTTGCAAGAGTGTGATAGGACTTTTGCTCATTTTCTGCGCCATGTTCTGCAGTTGAACAAACATAAAAATAGGTATGTTGCATCATGCTCCCGAAATATCCATAAGACCTAGGCCCTAAACCCCAAAACAAAAGGGCTGGGTACGTTTTCCAGCGTTGGCCTTGCGAGCAAGTGCCCTGCAAAAACCGGGCTGAGGGCTTCAACTCCAAACCCTAAACCGTACCTTTGGATCCAAAAACCTACGGTTTTAAGGGTCAGACCCTCTAATTGAGGGGTCATAACCTACCATTTTGTTGATAATAAACCCCCAAACAACCAAACCTCTAAACCCCTAATCACCCTAAACCCTACACTCTTTACGGTTTCGGGAGGAGGTCTGAGAAAAGGTCCTCCAGCTGTTCGATGAACTCGTCCAGGCTCTTCGTGCCAAGTGGCCTCTTCCTCAAAGCTCGGCATCTTTCAGGGTGTAGGTAGAGTTTAGGGTTTTCGGTAAGGTATAGGGTTTCGGTAGGCTTGAGTGTTTAGGTGGGTTTTGGGGTTGAGGGCTTAAGGATTCAGAGGAATCAAAGAAACCTCCGCAGCAAGATAAATACAAATCCGGCCAAGCGTGCTACGGAACACTGAAGAGAGAAGGGGTTGCACTCTGGTTCACAGCACTCGAACTACTGATGCGGGAACGATCTGCAATCGATTTATAGAGGAGTCATAAGGGCATAGTACTGCTAATCACTCTGACTCCGTGAGGTTCAGTATACTTTCATTACACTAAGGACCCCGAAGGAACTGTATTGCTACTTATATATACAATGTAGTGTATAATATATATATATATATATATCATATGGTTATAAAAAAATAAAATATGGATATATACACACATATTTGTACATATGTATATATATATATATATATATATGTACATACATAGATTTTCAGCTAGGAGTGTAAAGTCCCGCCGCCGCAGGGCCATGCTGAACCCGGGGCCGGAGCTGACCCCTGGCACGCACGTTCACGGCCCCTTCGTCCTCCTCCTGCTGACCTTTGTAAGGGGGTTTCGGGTTTTGTAGGGTTTATACGGGTTCCTTTAAGGGTCCCTTTTAAGGGATCTATAAGGGTATAGGGTTTAGGGTCTGCTTGGAGGTTCATGGGTAGTTATAAGTAGGGTTATAAATAAGAGAACTATACTTGTAAGCCTTGTTAGGGGACTTCTAACCCCACTTATAACTGCCCACCTGCAAGTAGGCGGTTTCAAATTTTGTAGGGGTTTGGGGTTTACGGTTTAAGGATTTCGGGTTTCGTAGGGGGTTTCGGACTTAGGGATTTCGGGTTTAGTAGGGGTTTAGGGTTTAGGGATATAGGGTTTTGCAGGGGGTTTCGGGTTTAGGGATTTCGGGTTTAGTAGGGGTTTAGAGTTTAGGGATACAGGGTTTTGCAGGGAAGGGTTAGGGATTTGGGTTTAGTAGGGCTTTAGGGTTCAGGGTGTAGGGATGTAGAGTGTAGATTTCAAGGGCTTCTTGGTTCAGGGTTTAGGGCGTAGCGGGTCTAGCGGGCTCGTGGCAGTCTGCGCGATCTGAGCTTTTTCGCACACTTAAGCTTTAAAAGCAGGTTCTAAGCCCCAAAACTGCAGCGTCAAGATCAAGCTCTGCTGCCGGCAGTTTCGTGGCTTTTCTCTTGCAAAAGCTCTGTAGCACACCAGCAGCTGGACTCCTGATCGTAACAAGTATACTGCATACGATGCCGGGGCTCATGCCATGTTTAGGGTCGCAATTGCCTGCCAAGTCTGGGAGCTATATGGGCAGTTCAGCCATCGCAGTGGTGAAGCCCAAACCCACAAGGACCCCTGTGAAAAGGACCCTAAAAGTGACCCTAATTTAGAGAAACCCTTTAAGCGAGTCCAAACTCAGAAACCCTCGAGACTAAACCGTTTCTCGCAGCCACGAATCCAATCAAGCTCCGACACATCCTATGGCCCATGCCGCCGAACTCCCAAACCCAATACTTCACATGGTCCAACCTGAAACCTAAGCCCCAACCCCCATCCCTCAACCTAAACCCTAAACCCTAAACCCCCATCCCTCAAAACTCCTACAATTGCGAGGCAGAGGCCGACCACGAGGATGTAATTGAATTGGGCCACCTTCAGAGCTCCAGGCTCGGCTAGACCCAAGAGTAACCTAGGTTATTAAGGGTGCCCTTTTGGGTTTCAAGGGGCTTATAAGGGAACTTGAACCCTTAACAAGGGAATAAGGGCCTACTCTGGGTCCAAGCTTATGATACCATAATTATAATGAGGAACCCCCAAAGTAGTATAGTGGGGCCCTTGCAGATAGAATATTTCCTAGTTGGGCATTTCTGAACATTTTGGAGTTTGGCTTCTCGAGCAATTTTGGGGCTTTTGGGGCTCGTCCCTAAACCCTAAACCCTAAACCCTAAACCCTAAACCCTAAACCCTAAACCCTAAATCCTAAACCCTAAACCGTCGGAACTTGGCGTCTTCTGGGGTTTGCCGTCTCATGGCTTAGGATTCAGGGCTGTGGGTGTTTACGCTTGATCTAAATCATCAGAAGAATTTTGTGGTGGTTATTGCGGGGATATTCTGACCAATGCACTCCGAGCCCCTTGCATGATGCCCTGAAGGTGTAAGAATCCAACAGCGTTCATCCTTGATCCAGGTACAAACTTTCTGGAGTTTATGCTGTGGTGCTTGTTCGGTGTCTGTGGTGCCCTGTCCGATGCAGTGATTCTCAAGGACGGGGCTTGGTTAGGCAACCCCTTTTCTGCGAAGACTCTTCGGAAAGCCCTCAATGATTTTGTGCTCTTCAAAGTTCAGAACAGGCTTAACAAGGGTTCAACGGGTTCTTTACGTCCACCTCTAAGCCTAAAGGCAGAATGCTCCCCTCCTGTGAGTGAGTTGAGCGACACAACCTACGTCTCGACCTAAACCTAAGCTCTGAGATTCCACTCATCTACCGCATGAGCCTGAGTTACTGCACCCCGCAGAACATGTGCTGTGAGGAAGGGGACTAAGTCTGACTCATGGCCGCGAATGGTTTAGGATTGGTTCCAGGGTTCGGATAGAGGGTGAAGGCACACCGATCGCAAGAATGAGGGCAAAGCGAGCTTCGGAACTTTCACGATCTCTGCCACTTTGAAGTTCACATCTCTGAAGACTCCAAGAGCTTCAGGGCACGCGCAAAAAGCTGCCCCATTGAAGTCATGTCGACGTTCGCTGCCTCGAAATCGGCCACCGCAGCTCTCGCAGCCTCCAATCTCGCAGCTGGGCGATCGCGTATTGAGGCCAAGGCATCCCGAACAGATCGCATGAATGGCTGAGCCCCCCTCTTTACACTGAGGACAGTCGTTAAATACACTTCAGTGAAGGGGAGGTTGGCTTCGACCTTCAGGCTTTTCATCAGCTCATATGCTTCCAGTACTCGGGCTAAGCTGGCATCTGCATAAGCTCCCATCAAAGACGTGAATGTGGCAATGTTTGGCTGTAGGCCCATCTCCAACGACATGTTCAGCAAGAACTCGGCTGCGTTGTGGCTCGTCCCCTCGGCTTCCCAACAAGCACGCACGGATGGCAGACGTCACATGTCCGATGTCAATCTGAACGCCTGTACGGTTCATCTCGTCCAGGATCTCAGCGGCGGCTTGAACGTCACCCTCTGCAGCAGCTGCGTCGATGCGGGCCGCTGCCAGTGCTGCATCAAGCGGACAATTACTTCTGGCATCTTTCCAGATCTCACGAATGCGGTCAGTGTCACCCAACTTGGCAAACAACTTGAGAGCAGTGCCATAGGCAGCCCCATCTTGAGTGATGTTCAGATTCTGTAGTCGGGTATAAACAGCTGAACCCTCCTTGTATTGTCCACAACTGAAGGCAGTGTGAAGCACCACATGGAAAACAGGAAGCTCTTTGCCATCGTATTTTCGGAACAGGCGTGACACGGATTGCCAATCACCGCGATCTCGCGCCTCTGCTATCCTGGACAGCAGCCTCCTGGCTTCGTTGCTGTAGGTCATATTTGGATTGTTTATTCTCGTGCGTAAATTCATTCCGGCCTCCTCTCGCAGCAAGCGGAGTTTCGCAGGATCTTGTCCAAGTCCAAAGTTCCACGAGGGCTGATGCGACATGAAGAATAGACACGCGGACATGAGCACGCTAGGCAAGAACAGGCGCCGGTACGGCTTCTGTTCTGATACTGGCAGCACAGGCATCGCTCCAACAAGACTGTCTGGTTCTTAGTAGGGAATGGGGGAATGGGTTATGATGGGGAGCATTATTGGGGACTATATAGGGACTACTATAAGGATCCATTCCCCAATTCCCTACTAAGCACCAGACAGACGACGGTGAGGATTCGCAAAGCAAAGGTGGATGCTTGGCCTAGTGATCAAGAGCCACCACTCCTGGCGTGGAGAACAGAAATGGGAATTTCCGCCAATTAGGGCTACCTTACCTTGGGATCCTTATAATAAGGATCCTACTATTTAGGGTACTATATTAGGGTCCCCTATTTTCGGAGACTCCCAAAAGGTCGCCTAACAGATTTTTCCGGAATTCTTCCAGTGCAGTGTCCAATCCACCCGAACCCTACACGAAACACAGCGAGCTTGGAGAGGAATGTTGTTTAGGGTTTGTGGCTCTGACCAGAAACGGGTTCCACCTTGCAAGTAAACCGAACGGTGTTTTGGTGTTTTCAGCGTGTTTTTGGAAAGCCTAAACCCACAACCCTTACCCATCTCTACCCTGAACATCCCTAAGACCCTAACCCCCAAGCCCTAAACCCTAAACCCCTAAACCCTAAGCCCTAAACCCTCATCCCCTAGGCTCTTGAAGCCTGCAGGTCGGCATGAAAATGCGCGCTCCCCAGAGAGCCCAATACCCGTTCATTAAGGAATATACCTTAAATTGTAAGTAAGGGGATTCATAATATGATTTAAGCTATATGGGAGTTTCCGAAAATGGGGGACCCTAATATAGTATCCTAAATAGTAGGATCCTTATTGTAAGGACCCCAAAATAAGGTACCCCTAATTTTCGGAAACTCCCATATTCCTTTATTAAGGGGTATTGGACCCTCTGGGTTGAAAAGCCGGCAGGTCGGGATTGAAGTGCGCTCTCTGCATCCTGGCCTGCGCCTCGCGCACCTTCTTGTTCAGCGTGCCATCACCTGTCAGGAGGACCGAAACGACTTCGTTCATGCTCGATTTTGCACGAACCCATGTACTCACAGCTGCATAGCAAGTCCAAGTTGCACCCTTACCACGAAACATGCTAAGCCCAGCGCCCAGGTTGACTTCAACCTCGAGCGTCAGATTCCAGAGGCAAGCTTCTTCAATGGTCAGGTCAAGTAGGTAATATAGGGCCATAATGATTAGAATAGGGTTGTGGGGCCCCTTATACTATTGTAACAAGGAACCACCCGCCAAAATAATATGGGTAATTGTTAAGGCCCCTACAGTAAAGCTCTATGTTCTGGGACGAGGGTGTGGGTGTGGGCTCCGGGCCCTGACTGCTGCAAAGGTGGAAAAGGTCTCAACTGTCCTGCCTTATGGGCGTGGGCTTCCCTGCTAATCATTCGAGACAGCACCAGACCACAGAGCTTTTTCCACCGAAGTCCTTGATTTTTCAGCCCATCTCAGATCTTTACATCCCCAACCCCGAAGCCCAAAAACAACCCTGAATCCTGCAAATTTTTCTCATCCCTAAACCCTAAACCCTAAACCCCTAAACCCCCTATGAACCCCAAACCCCTAAACCCTCAACCCTAAGCACTTTTCAGGCTCCGAGCCCCTCGCGTGGAAGCCCCGGGAGTGTAAAGTCTCCTTGACGTACTTGGCATACCTCGACAGAGAGGCATCAAAACTGCAGCGAATCCGAAACTCAACGAATTAAGGGTGGGTTTGCGGCCTAAACCCCAACCCGGATGTTAGGATTTAACCATCTAACTGAAGGATCTTCTGTGGTACTGCTGGTGAATGAATGATGGTGGCGGTGATCTTCGCCACGCTGCTGCTGCTGCTACTACGAGGAGGCGGAGGAGGGAGAGGAAGGAGGAAGAGCAGGAGGAGGAGCATCACCAGCAGCAGTGGTAGCAGTCGTGGTAGCAGCTAGCAGTGCTCGTCGTGGCCCAAGGGAAGTCTGTGCAGTGTCCTTCAGCTTGGCGAAGCAACAACAATTCGGAGATAGCAGCTGTATCTCATACATGAGCTGCTTCTAAAGACTACGGGTGCCAAACCCTGCCACAAATTGACACCTAAACAAACGACCCTAAGTCCGAAACCCGAAGCCCCAACATCTTGAATCTTAAGCTCTAAAGCCTGTACCCTAAGCGCATACTAAACGTGCGGATCCAAGCAGCTCGAACGCATCGTCGGAGACAGGCACGACCATGCACCTCAGTCACTTCGGACCTGCCTCTCTGAAGCTGAAGGGTTCTTCATCGGGATCCTTAGGGGGAGGGGGGGAAGGGAACCATACTTCCTTAAATACGCCCTTTTTCGGTCCTGATTATGGAATTAAGACACCCCCCTCCCCTACCCCCCTAAGGGTCCCTATGAGTTCTAGAAAGAGCAGATTCGTGATTCATGGTTGTTCCAACAGGGCCAGAGCTTGGGGCTTAGGGACAGCTATGATTCAATGACCACGGTGCAGTCAGGGATTGTTTTGCACCGAATTCCACGAATAGAGCCCGCGAGCCGGCCATGAACTCCAGCACGGATGAGGGTTTAGGGAAGCTTAGGGTTTAGGCACAACTTCATGTACATATAAAGGAGCCGTAAATCATAAAGCGAAGAGTGTGATTTTACAGCACAAATACGACAATGAACTTTGAGGAATTCCATTCTGAATCACCAAAACTGCCCAAAATCCCCGAACCCTGACGAAATCTGAGGCAAACGAGGGGCTGCCTTGGTGAAAGCCACAAAGGCCACTTGCCACCCTGGGTGAGAGGGGGCTCTTTTTCAGGGTCGTCTGAGGGTACCACCAGAACTCCGGGACTTACCTGGACCCTAAGGAACCTCCCTTTTTAGGGCCCCCGAATATGATTTCTTCATATAAGTCCCTAGAACGGTCGATTATTTGGGGTTAAGGTAGGGTTTAGGGAGAGCTCCAAAGGTACTGCGCTGCAAAAAGTCTACAGGGGTTGCCTTATTGAGGAGAATAGGGTTTGGAGGTAGGATATACCATAAGTATAATCAAGAACCCGGAGTAAAAGCATGTACTACCTACGCAGGCCTTTGTATTATTACATCAGCTCGAAACTCACCACAGAAGGGGACGCATTTCCACACGCAAGCCCCGCGAGTGAGCAGCTGTCACGCATCGTCCGGATCTCCTGAGCTCCGTAGGTCTCCCCAGGGTTAAGCGTTTTGATGGCTTTGGGGCTTTGGGTTCAGGGCGCTTCGGGGCTTTAGCCCTTTGGGCCATGGAAGTTTTAGGGTTTAGGGGTGTAGTGGTTTGCTTTTTGTTCCAAAGCTCCATTCTTCGGGTTCAGGGTCTCAGGGGTTTCACGCTGAGGGTTTCGGGGTTCGGGTTCGCAGGTGTAAGCAATGGAGAGTTCAGAGTCCAAGAGTCTTGGGTGTAGGAATTTAGGGTACTCCCTTTATCAGGCTGTGCCGTCAGCCTATGCCGGTTCTTCCAGCTTCGGGTGGGTCGGCCCTACCTTGCAGTGCTTTGCACAAGAGGACAGAGAACAATAATTAGAATAGGATTCTGGAGCCTATTCTATTATAGTTACCACAAGGAACTCCAAAAATATTATGGATAATTATTAAGGCCGCTGTAGTAGTCGAGCTGCTTTCATCTAGACGCAGGCCTCCCCCAGCAGAAAAGCAGCCAACAATTGTCTGGTTCAGTAGGGAATGGGGGAATGGATTATGGAGGCTATTATTGGGCACTCCGTCAAGAAAAGCAAAAGGAGCTTGAAAAAGCAAAGGCAATGGCAGGCTAATGCCCTCAACCCCATACTAAACCCCAAGCCCCTAACCCCTAAACCGTATCCCCTAAACTCTCATGTCGGCGCTGACATCTCGCAAACCGAGCATCGCAAGTCGTCGAAGCCGACACCCTCGGAAGAGGAGTCGCCGTCCAATTGGGGAGCCTTTCGGGCGTGTAACTGAGGCTTTTCAAGGACCCTCCTTGTACCCTCAATTAGGGTATATGGTCCCAAATAAGGGGCATTTAGGGTCTAATGGAGGGTAGTTGGAGGGTCTAGGTTGGTTTTTGGTCTTTTGGGATGGGGGTAGGGTCGAGGCCTATTTATTGCTTTACATGTTCAAGGCTGCTGATTCCGAACTACCTGTAGTCTCCATTGTAGTTCCTTTTTGGGGCTACTTTTTAGGATCCCTAATATACATTTTAATAAACCAGAAAAAGGAACTACAATGGAGACTATAGGTAGATCCGAAGCCACAGGGCATTTCTGGGAATTTTGGCGGTTCCAGGACTGTTGGCTCAATCGTCTGCGAAGATGCACGGCGGGCAAGCCGGTCAAGGAGCTTTAAATGCCTGGGTTGTAGTTTTGGGGCTCTGAAAAGTATTTATGAATACATACCTCTGTAGGAACCATAAGGGAAATTAAAAGTTTCCCAAATTGCCACCTAGATGCAGGCTTCAGCTGTGTTTTTTTGCTTCAATTCTCAGAACGGCTTAGAGCTTTAGGGTTTTAGGGGTTTGGGCTTTGGGGGTCTAGAAAAGGCAAAGCGGGCAAGGTACGCAGCTTGCAAGCCTCGCCAGGATTTAAACATGGAGCCATGAGATCACTATCTCCTAGTGTAGGGTGGCTGCACATCGTGAATGTCAGGACCGACAGCCACAAATCCATTGCAGCACGTCCTCTGACTGGACCCGCGGACCAATATCCAGAACGTAGTCGATATACCATATGGGAGTTTCCGAACATTAGTGGTACCTTGTTTTAGGGTCCTGATAATAAGGCTCCTACTTTTTGGGGTACTATATTGGGTCCCCTATCTTGGCTGACTTCTGAACCCCTCCAAAAAGTTAAACTTTTAGCCTCCTTATTATAGCTCATATAGAAACCCCCAAAAAGTTAAAGTCCCAGGAGCCAGCCAGAAGAACGCCCACGCTATTTTTGGAAACTCCCATGTAAAATGGCCCTAAACCCTAAACCCTGGAGGTCTGAAGCCTTGGCACTAGCATACGCCATGTAGCCCCGTGCACCTGTGCGAGATGAATTTTCGGCCTAAAGCCCCTTGAACCCTGAACCCTAAACCACAAGCTATAAACCCTAAACCCCTAAACCCTAAATACCTAACTCCTAAACCCTAAACCCCTGAATCCTAAACTATAAACCCTAAACCCCTAAAACCCCAAACCCACTTTTCAGCCCCTCAAGGTCCTCCTTAAATTTCGCTGCCTGGTCTGCGTGGGCCACGGTTGGGACACGGGCCGGCCTGATGGGAGGCCAAAAGGGGGGTTTAAGATTCTTGGGGTAGGGATCAGGGATTAGGGTTTAGGGAGTAGGGTTTAGGGTTTCGGGAGTAGGGTTTAGGGATTAGGGTTTGGGGTTTAAGATTCATTCTTGGGGTAGGGATTCCTTAATATGAACCCTATTATGGGAACCCTAATCCCTACTAAACCCCCATACACTAAGACCCCTTTTCGCCTCCTATGACGGCCTTCGGGCAACGAAGCGGCCTCCTTTAGTATACGGGCCTTCATCATATGAGAATAGAGTTTTGGTGAATATTATAGTATAGTTATAACCCTGAGAAGGAACATCCACAGTAGTATAGGTATTTATTTAGCCTCCTATAGTAGTTGTCCAAAGCCGTTCATACGGATGTAAAGTGCATTGTTTATGCTTTACCTTTTCGTTCGTGACATCGCCAAGGGCTTCTTGTTCTGTTGTGTTTTGCTTTTTTTGTAGGCTTCACTTCTCACGGTCTGGCGAACATTCTCCTTCAACGCCCCGGATCCGTTTGAGGAGTCACCCTTTGGATGCGTGGCAGCAGTTCCGCAGCTTGGGCCCTCGACAGGAAAGCCTTCCCATTTCCGAGACAAAACAGGTGCAGGCATGAATAACTAGAATAGGGTTCCTTTCAAAGGGGGATGAAAAGGAAACTGTCAGCTTTAGTATTGGGGACTGTAAGCTTTAGCATTGGGGCCTTGATGGTAAGACCATGGCTTTTTGGTTATCTGGGACTTTACGCTATGCATGTATGAGTGAACTCCACGGAAGAACATTCTTAATTACTCGGGCGATGCACCTGCCAAAAGGACCCTATGAAACCTATCGAGGCCCGTAGAACCTTGCAGACACACACACACACACACACACACACACCCACACCCACACCCACACACACACCCACCCACCCACCCACCCACCCACCCACCCACCCACCCACCCACCCACCCACCCACCCACCCACCCACCCACCCACCCCCCCCCCACCCACCCACACCACCCACCACCCACCCACCCCCCACCCCCCCACCCACCACCCACCCCCCCCCCCACCCACCC